AGATACTTAGTCAAACTAGATACGAGTACATTACATATGCCAATTTGTGCTTGTGTTGATTAGCACACACAGATTATAATAGTCCTCGTAAGTTTGCCTTGTTTGTATGTATGTGTTCATTCGCGCGTAATTAAGAAATAAAATGCCGGAAATTCACTGATTGTTAGACACGTTCGAATATCCGGGCGCACATCCTTGCCATGGCTGTTTGCATTGACTCTAGCTATTGCCAACACCAACTCCCCGTGTGTTTATATGAGATTCTACGCATATATGTGTATGTGGAACACTAAAAATAGTCGCATGTGAAATAGCGCATTGCGTTGATTAGAGGGAACTTGAAGTTAATGCAAATTAAGCGCTGAATTGAGTTGAGTGGAACGGAGTGATACTCAAAAAGGCGTTGTTTTATGATTTATGAAGTCGTGGGATAGGAATTGAGTGGTGTAATTTTGATGCGAAAGATAAATAAATGCAACAAATAAAATTAAATAATAAAAAATAAAATAAATTAAAAAGAAAATAAATAAAATTAAATTAAAAACAAAAAATTAAAAACAGCAAAGAAATTTAAAAAAAAATTAAAATAAATAAGAAATTAAATAAAATGAAAAATTAAAATATATAAAATAAATTAAAACAAAATAAAATAAATTGAAATACAATAAAATTAATTTTATAATTAAAGTGAAATTATTTAAAATTAAATAGAATGAAATGAAGTGAATTAAAATACAAAAAAGTCATACAAAATAAATTATAATACATTAAAAATAACAAAATAGAAAATTAACATAAAATAACATAAAGAAAACAAAAAAATTAAATAAATGTAATGAAAGTAAATAATTTGAATTAAATCAATTTAAATTTATAAAATAAAAGTGAATTTAACTAAATAAGTTGATAAATAAAATAAAAATTAAAAGCAGCAACAAAAAAAATAAAACAAAAAACGATTCCTTTATTAGTAGTAGTAAAAAATATATGAAACATAATAACTTTTTATTATAAAATAATTGGAAACGTATTAAATGATTTAAAATATTAAAAGGCAAATAAATCAAACAGAAACTAAATAAAATAAACAGATTAAATAAAATAAAAAAAATCAAATCAAGCCAAATAATAAAAAAATATAGTTGATTGAAATAATATAATATAAAATTATGTGAAATAAAACAAAATGAACCAAAATTAACAAACTGAAACCGAATTTAGCTGATTAAAATACTAAAAATATAAATAAAAAAATATAAATAAAAAAATAAAAATAAAAAAATAAAAATAAAAATAAATAAATACAAAACAAAAATAAAATAAAAAATTAAAATAAAAATAAAATTACAAAATAAAAATAAAATTTAAAATTTAGCTAAATAAAAAAATAGGTTTAAATTGAAAATAATTAGAATCATATAAAATAACTTAAGGTGTTATAAAATAAAATAAAATAATTTAGAGATAAAATGAAATAATAAAGATTAAAAATATTTTTAAAAAATGTAAATCAAAATTGTTAAATAAAAATTTTAAATAAAAAAATTATATAGAACATAAATTAGAATCGTAAGAATAAATTTAAAATTTAATAAAACAAAATAAATAAAATTAAATGTAATTTTTTTTTTGTTATAAATTTTTTAGTGAGCTAAAGACCTGGTTTGTTTGTATGAATTGAATATTTTTGTTATACAACAAAAAAAATATTTATAAATACAATTAAGTCTATTCAGAAAGATTTAGCTTAAATTGAATTTCAAAACAATTAAAACTTAATTAACAAAATTAAAAAAATTATAAGCTCTCAACTATTTTTAGTTTTAATTTTCCAAAAACAACCTCTTCCAATGAAAGTGAATGTAAAATTTTATAAATGACATTAAAACATTAGTCAATTCTTGGGCAGCAGGTATTCTTCTGACAAGCAATTTATTTTTATTACTCCACATAAAACTATAGGATGTTGTTATATGATTATTTTAATAATATTTGTGCAGCTAAAACTCTTATCCACCATTTTTATCCCACAATAAATGTCGCCATGCGGCTAAGTATTTGCATAATTGCTTGCGGAGAACCAAGCAATCTATTGTCGTTTGTACCCTCAAACACAAAAAGTATTTGTATTTGCATATAAGTGTGTGTGCGTGTGTGAAAAGAAATATATATAAAAATTTACTTTTTCGTTTTCTTTTCCGTTTTGTTGTTTAAATAAATTTATTAATTTTTCTTTACCATTTTTTCTACTTGTTGCACCATGAAATTGTGTATTTATTGCGCCACAGTAGCCGCGAGCTAAGCTTCGTTATATTCAAGCGTACAAAAATGCCGCCAGCTATTCGAAGTAGCAAAATATATATATAGCTATTTTTATAATACATAATCAATGGTATTAGTAAGCATCTCCATGCATATGTATTTGTGTGGAGATGATGGCTTCATTACTTTGATGCATTGCATTCGCTGACAAAGTTAATCAGTGGGTCATTTATTAAGCATTTGTGTCAACACTCTACTGCCTTATGCGAATCAAATGGAATGTACATACCAATTTATAAGCATACATATATATAATACATTGATATATATATATATATATATATATATATAAATATATATACGTACATTCTCCAATAGCGTATGCTTTAGATACTCTTGCTGTCAACACTCAACGATTAAGTGGCTCCATAGATCATATTGAACAGCATCAAGGTTGGCTGAGGCAACTGAAGTTGTTGCTACTGAAGTTAGCCGCTTCTACTATACAAGCACACACACACAAACACAATTGAGCTTGACTTTGAGATTTATTTGCCGCATATAGCAGTAAAAAGCATAAATCAAGCTAAACATTGTCAACGCAGCAATTTTTCATGCTCCAAAAAACAAAAAAAGATAAACAATAACAATGAATAAAACGACAAATATAGAGTATTTGCTGAGAGAAGACCACGCACATTTGACTGAGTTGAAACATCAATTGGCCATAGGCGTGCTCTAACTTGCATTTTTATACAAGACAAATTTCTATGTTTTTTTTTTTCTTTTTTAATTTTGCTACTCTTAACGATTTATGTTGTCACTGTCACCGGTTGATTTTGCTATTGCTGTCGCTGTCATCGGGCCACCCAAACTATAGCAGCGGCGATGACAATAAGCAACTGTCCGTCACTGCTCACTCATTGTCAGCACTGCTGTGGTCCGTACCCCACATTATTCTGTTAAATGAATTATGCTGCTTTTTGATACAAAATTTATGCCTACGAGCGCTGAAATTTCAGTATCTGAATGCTTTAAAGCATTATTTTTTTGCATTTTATTTTTAGTTTTACCTTAATATATTTTATATTTTTTACATTATTTTATTTTATATTATTTTTCTTTTAAGTTAATTAGTTTAACTTTTTATTTCACTTGATCGGAAATTATTAAATTTTATTTGAGTTTATTTTATTTTACTTATTTCATATTATTGTTTTCTGTTCTATTTTATTTGATTTTCTTTAATTTTTTATTTCTTCATATTTTATTTTCCCTTTATTTTTTTGTTTTTATTTTTTTTTTTAATTCACTTAGTATAATTTTTCTGTTCTTTTTAATCTGAATATATTTAATTTTATTTATCTTTATTTTGTTTTATTTTCTTTTATTTACTTTAATTTTATTTTCATTTCTCTCATTTATTTTAATTTAATTTAATTTAATTTCATTTTATTTTATTTTCTTTTATTAAATTTAATTTTATTTTCATTTCTCTCAATTAATTTAATTTAATTTAATTTGAATTTATTTTATTTTATTTATTTGATTTTATTTAATTTTCATTTCATTTCATTTTATTTTTTCGCTAGCATTTTTTTTTCTCTTTTGCTTTATCTGATTATATTTTATTTTCTTTACTTTATTTTTTTTTTTTTTATATTAACTTATTTTACTTTAGTTTGTTTTATTTCATGTTATTTTATTCTATTTTATTTTCATTTCTCTTATATTATTTTATTCAACATCTTTCATTGTATTTCGTCCTATTTTATTTATTTCATTTTATTTTATTTTTGAATTAATTAATTTTTTTATTTTCTATGTTATTTCACTTAATTTTATTTTTTTGTTATTAGTTTTTTTTTATCAATTTTTAATTTTGTTATTTGATATAATTTTATTAGTTCTACCTATTTTGTTCCTCTAGAAGTTTTCAACTTCAAGTACACTAAATTGTATGCCCCCACACTTAATAGTAATTTACAACGTAATTCATTGCTTACCAAATAAGCTTCTTTATGGAAATGGCATACTTAGCAGTCGCTCATGAAAAAATAAGACCGATAATAATTCAATCACACATGCATGACCAGCTGACAGTGATATCAAAAGCAACAACAGTATTATAAATTACAAGAGCAATTAAGAAGCAATCATAAAAATATACTTAAACTATAAACAACAAGAGCTGTGAAAAGTTAAAAAAAAAAAACGAATAAAAAATTTCTCAAACTGAATTCGAGCAAACAACAACCAACCAACGAACTGCGACCAAACAAAAGACTTAAGCAACGAACGTGACTATTCACTGACACTTTGAAGGTCAAACAATCACATTTTTTCGCATAGTAAGGTGTTTATTTATTGATTATTTCTTCGTCGCATTATTCTTTAATTCATTTCATTTTTATGTTATATAAGTAAGTCTTGTTAAAGAAAACAAGCCACATCTGTATTGGCTCTAATTGCGTGCTGGGAGGGGGGACACAGCAATATTGTCACTTAATTGGTATGAATGAAAAACGGCGACCTCGTTTGGCCTTTGTACGATGAAAAAAAAATGTGAGAAATTAAATGAATCACTTCTTAAACGACAATTAAGCCGTTATTTATACATTTTTAATTTTTTTTAACACATATATAATTAGCGTAACCATATATTTTTTGTATGTTTTTTATTTAATGTAATAATTAATATTTATTTTCTATTACTTTTTACTTCTACAATCCGTTAGGGTGCTGAGCGTAAAACACGTGATGAGGAGCGTCGCGCTGCTAAACGTAAAATGACCGCCACAGGACGTAAGAAGCTCGATGAGCTATATCATCCGGTCACTGATCGTTCGGAGTTTTATACAATGCAAGATTTACAAAAGCCACCGGTATTATTCTCACCCGCCGATGATATGGAAAAGGTGAGTTGCATAGTAAGTTCATTGAAATACTTATATAACAAAATTATGTAAAAAAAAATATTAACTTAATTTGATTTTATTTTAATTAATATTAATTTAAGTAGTTTAATTATTATTTATTTTATTTTTTAATTTATTTTATATACTTTTTACTTTGTTATCTTAGTTAATTTTTTTAATTTTCTTTTATTTTGTTATATGTTATTTTAGTTTAATTTATTTTATTTTGATTGCATCACTTTATTTTTCTTTACTTTATTTAATTTATATTTAATTTTTTTTTTTTACATTTTATTTTATTAATTTCATTTTATTTTATTTTATTTTATTTTATTTTATTTTATTTTATTTTATTTTATTTTATTTTATTTTATTTTATTTTATTTTATTTTTTTTTTTTAATTTCTTTTTATGTTATTTTCTTTTTTTTATTTTTTTTTTATTTATTTTTTGTTTTTATTTCATTCTATTATATTTAATATTAATTTATTTGTTTTTTTTTATTTTTTTTAATTATTTAATTTAGCTTAGTTTCTTAATATATTTATATTTTAATTACATATGTTTTTTATTTTAATCTTATTCATATTATTTATACCTTTCTATTATTATTATTTGTTTACTTTATTTCGCAATATTTTTTTTTTGTTCATTTTATTCTATTCAATTTTATTTTAATATAAATTTTTTCTGTTCATTTATTGTTCTATTTTATTTTATTATATATTATTTTACTTTTATTTATATTATTTTTGATTATATTGTAATGAAATTTATTTAATTTTATATTATATATTTCTTTTGTTTTTTTATTCTTCTTTTTAATAAAATTTTAAGTATAAATTATTTAAACATTTTTCTTTTTTATTGTAGTTTGTTTCTAATTTTATTTTATTTTGTTGTATATTATTTTAAGTTAAATATTTTATTTCATATTATATTATTTAAATTTTTTTTTGTTTTATTTAAATTTTCTTATTTCATTTTAAATTAGTTTATTTATTTATTTAATTTATTTTTTATTGTCTAATCTTTTAGTTTGGTTAATTGCATCTCAGTTTTGTGTTTATATTCTTAATTCATTTGAAATGTATTATTAATTCAATTTTTCATTTTCATTCTGATCTACTCATTTTCCCCACAGAGCTTCTACGGCCACGAGACTGATTCACTGACCGGCGCACCAGATCTCAAAGGCACATCACCATTCTTATTGCATGGCCAAAAAGTGGCGGCGCCAACACTCAAATTCCACAATCATTTTCCGCCCGACGTGCAGACGTGAGTATATGTAAAAATCGTTACGCTTTTATGAGCGGACAGCGTGAGGGAGAGAATAAAGAAATTAAACATTTTTAACTTAATTTTTTTATTAAGTTTGAATTTCTAATACTTTTATTATTTAAGTCTTAATTTGTCTAAATTTCCATGATATATATGTCTTCAACAGCGACAAAAAGGATCACCTGCTGGATCAAGGTTTAGTACCCAGTGCCATGGGCGATTATGTGCCACCATTGAAACGTGGACGCATGACACCGCCAACCAGCGAACGCGTTATGCTGTTCGTGCGACAGGAGAACGAGGACATATACACGCCATTACACGTGGTGCCGCCCACAACTATTGGCCTCTTGAATGCGGTAAGTAAGCTGTGCTGAGCGAAAACAAATGAATAGTAACAATTATCAAAAAAATTAAAAAAATATCACTAAGATGAAACGCTACCCCAAATCCTACTTCCTTTAAACCGGAAATGAAATCACTTTAGAACTACTTTGTTTGGTATTGCCATTATTTCATCTATTACTTATTTACTTATTGGTTGCAACAACACAGAAACTCATTTTAAACTAAATTAAAACCTACAGCTAACGCTACCAATTAATTGAAACTAAAAACAAGAGGGTGTATAAACATAATAACTAGAAAGTATTTTAAGAAAATAGCAGTTTTTAGAACTGCTCAGAATTTTTTCATATTTTTTATAATTTTATATTGAAATATTTATGTTTATATTCAATTTTTGTTTTTTAGAACTTTTTAAATTTATTAATAAAATATTTTTTTAATATTCAGAACTTAAACAACAACATTGTACGCATTGTTGTTGTAATAATATAATATTTTTTATGTTTTTTTTTTATTATAAAATATGTAAAATTTGTTCACAAAAAATAGCAGCAAAAGCTATACTTTTTTTAATGTTTGGTATTCAACACATTTTACCTTTTGTTGTCGTATTAAAAATATTTTTTAAGCCGTATCGATGTGGTATTTATAATCAATAATTCTTTTGCTAATATAGCAATTTATAATTTTAATATTTATCTTTTATTCTATACATAAATTCATCTGTTCTTCGTGGAACAAATATTTTTTTATTTTTGCATACTTTTTCATGTCGGTCAAACCTTTTTCCACTACAAATACGGATCTTTTTCTTTAGTTTTAGAACCATAAATCAGCATTGCTTTCTTTTTTGTAATAATTGTTTAAATTCTAATATTTTTTTATTTTACTCTGTGTCGATTTTATCCATAAAAAATAACCGAAGTAATAATTTTATTAATTACTGTAACTTTGGTATTCCCTTTTTTATAAAATAAATTAAAAGCATATTTTCAAATGTCGATTTTCGTAATGCAATAAATCAAACACAATTTTTTCGTATATTTATTTCAGTTATTTTTAACTGTTCTTTTAAGTATTTTTCTACTTAGCCGAATTTTTTTCCTAAAATATTACAATTTATGTATATATATATATATATATAGTTATATATCTATAATTATCGACCGAGCTCATCCTTCAAATTTTATTTTTAATTTTATGGTTTTCCGGCAATCTTTGATCGTTTAAAGAAAAAAATTTCCTTTTTTTTAAATAATTATTTATTTATTCAAACTCACTTTGCTTGAACAGAAATAATAAAATCGGATTTTTATAGTAAAAAAAATACTAAAGTGATGAAGAAAATAAATTTTATTTTCCATTTAATAAACATTAAAAATCTAATATTTATACGTTTTATGTTTCAACGGTAAATTGTTTTATTTTATTTTATTTTTTTTTTTAATAACTACACCCTGCTAATCAACCAGCTAGTAAAATATAATATCTAATAAAGAGTTTATAATTTTAAAATAATAATTAATTATCAATAAACATTCATAAACGTCATGCCATATTAACTACGAAATGAAAACATAAAAAACAACAATAGCAACAAATGCAAATTAACAAAAACAAAAACGATTGCACAAGTACGCCCGCCCACCCAACACTTTGTGGTATAATAATAACAAAAACAACAACATCAATAACAACAAGTAAACAATAAATGCAAATCTATAACAATTAATCATTGCAATGAATGCATCACTGAAACAGCAGCAACAACAATAACAACAACGCGCACAGTTATAAATTATTGCAATAGAAACCACAAAGCACAACAACAATAATCACAGTAAGCTACAGCACATAGTGTTGTTTAATTAATACACTGTAATTAACGGCAATAGTAGTATTAGCAAATAGCAACAACACACGAAAATAAACAAATTGAAATTAAAAAAAAAAAAAAATAACAAGACAAACAAAAAAACGCTAAGCTGGCAATAATCCCATTGCTCGCTCAATAAATGTAATTTTTTATTTTCACAATATGCTTTGTTTATCACCCTAGTGTAAATATACATATGGATGCATATAGTTGTGTAAATATTTTTTTTTTTAAGAACATTTGAAGTTAAACACACACTCATACACACATATGCATACAAAATATTATTAATCTAGTTAATAAAAATGAAAATTTTATGCGAATTCCATATGCAAATGGCCGCACAAGTACGATTCTATATGACTGCATATACACGTATGCATACGTACATATATACATATCTACATACAAGTGTGTTATATGCTATACAGGCGTACATTTGTATGTGCATGCGATTAGCATTCGTCTTAATCGACAATCAATGGTCGTTGTTTGTATATTTAATGCCTTGTTATTGGCAAATAATTTAGCTGTAAAATATTATTTAATTAAAGCGATGTGAAATGAAAAAGAATACAAAATGGAAAAAAGAATACTTAAAAATCAACGATAGTGAAAATAAAAGCGTGTGTAGATCAAAATGTTTTTGCTACTGAATATAAGTATGTATGTAGTTGATAGTTCATACTTTATAGATTTTAATTGTCAAATGTTATGTATGTGTTGGTGTGTGTGTTTGTTTGTTTTGCATTTAGAATGCAACAAGTATGGCGTCGTCTTTAATGTTCAATCAGTCAGAATATATTATTTATGTGTTAAACTATGTATGCGTCATTGCTCCGCCCATCATTCATTACTTCATTTCACACTGCATGCACACATACATATACATAAACTTTACATCATGAGAATAAATGGAAGCTATGGTTCTTATGAAAATGTTACTGCAGCAATGGCCAAGAGAAATACATATATACTGACGATGATGATTTATTTCTATATTAGTGATAAATGATGTAAAACAATAACAACTAAAGCAAAATATAATAAAAACACATCAAGCAAAAATTATAAAATATTAAAAAAAAAAAATTTTAAATAAATAAAATAAAACCAAAAATATCCGAACCAAAAAAAGTTAAAATAAAATAAAATTTAAAAATATACTAAATTATTTAGACTTGTACAAAATTAATTTGATTTGAGTTAAACTAAACAAAAGTAAACTAATTTAAAAGAAATGAAATTAATAAAAAATAATAATGAACCAAAATAATATGAAAATTAGAAACATAAATAAAATAAATCGAATAAATTCAATAAAACAAAATAAATAAAATAAAAAAAATAAATTAAAATAAAATAAAACAATATAAAATGGAATAGATTCAAAAAAACCGGACATGAATAATAAATAAAATATATTTAGATGTAATAATACACAGTAAAATAAAAAAAATTGTACAAAATTAAACAATATAAAATAAAATGAATAAAAAAGGAACATAAAATAAAATATATTAAAAACATAAAAGTAAAATAAAATATTTCTTAAAAAGAAAATAAAGTAAAGAAATTCAAATTTAAATATACTAAAATTAATAGTAAATAAAATAACGTAAAATGAGATAAAATAAAACAAAAGCAAAAACATTTTAAAAAAAGTAAACTAAAAAAACTAAAATGATATAAAAAAAGAAATAAATATAATTAAAAAACTTTAAAAAATAAATACAGGAAAATAGAATAAAAAAATTAATTTAATTATTTAAGATTATATAAAATTAAAGTAAGTTAGATGAAATGAGATTTAATTGAGTAACAAAACATGACGAACTAATAAAATAAAACAAAATATAAAACTAAATAAAATAAATCGAATAGAGTAAAAAAAATTAAAATAAAATGAAACATGATAAAATTAAATTAACTAAATTTAAATTAAATGAAAAAAATGAAATGAAATAATATAAAATAAAAAAAAAATACAGAAAAAGAATAAACTAATTAAAATGTATAAAAAAGGAAAATAAAATAACATGGAAAGAAAAAATAATCTAAAAAACGAAATAAAGTAAAGTAATTTAATGTATAATAATATAAATAATAAATAAAATAAAGTAAGACGAGATAAAATAAAGAATAAAATAAAATCCAAAGTATAAACGGAAAAAAATAATTTAAATTTAATAAATCTAAATTAAAGCCATATTAAAATTAAACAAAACGGATTGAATAAATTAATGAAAAATGTAGTAAAGTAAGCTAAAATAATAAATAAAATGAAATAAATAATTTTATTTGAAACGTAAAAAAATAAATAAATAATAAAATAAATAAAAATAAAAGAAAACAGAGAAATAAATAATATAAAATGAAACGAAAACAATAAAATAAAATACAACTTAATGATATAATAGACAAAACTAAATAAATCTAAAAAAAATAAATAAAATAGCATATATTAAAATAAAATAAAGCAAATGAAAAAAAAGATAAATTAAATTAAATAAATCTAAATAAAATAACAAACTAAAATGAATAAAATAAAATAAACCCAATTTAAAAAAATTAACAAAAAAACAAAGTAAAATATAATTAAATAAATAAAAAAAAATAATATTAAATAAATGAAAAAAATATAATTAAATTAAATATGTAAAATACGTAAAATATTTTTTTTCATATTATTCATACAATAGTAAAAATATATATTTGTTTGTAAATAAACGGTTTTATCATCAATTTAATTCAGTATATAATTTTTTAGTTTACTTGAGAATTACTAAAATCTCGCCTGTAGCTAAATGAATTAATTAACTGTAATATTTGTCAATTGTGTTCTCTTATGTATTTTGTAAGCTACTTTTTTGTTTATGTACTCAAGCACCCTGGATTAATTTAAATTAAAAAAGGAAAATAATAATTTACCTTGAATTAGATAAAGTCGCGTAATTTTCTTGCCATCACCATCATCATATGCCCCATATGCACTTACAAGCAAACATACACATACACCATACATGCCACATAACTGAAATTCTATCACACCATATTCGCATTACACTCAAACATATATACACTACAAAGAAAAAAGATCTGGCCGCTAAAATTACACATTGTAAATACTTAAATACATATCTAGCTTTTTTTAAAAAGATTTTGATAAACTTTGAAGCGCGTGAGGAGCTTTCAAATAAGTTAATATACAAAATATGTAAAAAAATCAAATGAATTGGCATTTCAAAACTTTTATTTATGAATACGAAAACCCGGAAGGTGTTTAGAAAAATATACATACATACATATATGTATTCTGAAATATCAGAAAGAATTGGTGTCTACTTTTTGGTGTATGTGCTAGAATTCTCTTAATTGGTTATGTATTGGCATCACTTCAGATATGTAAAAAGTAATAATAATCACGAATATTATTAAAAAAAAAAAACACTAAAAATAAATATATATCAATAAAAAATGTTATTAAAAAATCTTTTTTTTTTTAAATTAAAAAAAAAAACAATATTTTGCAATTAAATTTACCAAGAAATTCCAAACAAAAAATTTATACAAAATATGAAATTAAAATGAGTTTTTGTATGTTGACCAACAGTAGTTAAAAAATAATTACTTTTTAGTAGAGCAAACAAAAAATTTATATTTTTATTAATATACAAAATTAATAGTGAACATGCAACAATCAGACATATTATCAAAATTAAATAAATTAAATTGAAACCAAAAAAAAAAGTAAACAGAAAAAACCCAAAAATACAAACATCATTTTTCTCTCATTTTCTCAATTACAGATTGAAAGTAAATACAAAATCTCAACAGCGAGTATAAATAATATTTATCGTACAAATAAGAAAGGGTAAGTAGACATGAATACATACATAACTACAAAAACACAACAAATAGCAATAGGAAATTTCGAAAAAAAAAAATAAATGAATGAAGCCTGGAAAAATACAAAGAAAAACCCAACAGTCAACCACCATTAAATATACCCAAACATACAAAACAAGACACATATGTCACAAGGCACGCATCATATATAAAAAAAAAAAATTATTTATATTTTTGTATTTTTAAAATTATTTTTTTTTTAACATTTTTTTCTTAACTTTTATTAAAACGTTATGAAGTGATAAAGTTCAGCAGCTCACTCAAATTACACTCTACACAATTTTCCATTTAGAGCGCACACAGCACCCAGCATATTATCATCTGAATACCTGCACCGTTAATGTTGTGTGCAAAAGCCAAATAATATATTTAATCACTTTTTTTATTATTTTTTTTTTTTAATTTCAAAACACTTTTTTCATACAAAGCTATGAATATGCTATGCTAAATATAATTGTTACTCACCCATCAACTAATAACTGCAAAGTAGATATCTTTAATATTTTTTTTACAGTAATTTCTGATAATATAAATAATATTTGCATAATTATTTTATCATAAAACGTTAATGGCAAATTAATTGCATTTGTGTGGTGTAATAATTTCATGAAAAGGTTGTTGTTTCACATATTTTTCATCTTACCATTTATAACGGTTATTGATAATTCAAATTAATGTAATTAACAATTTATAAGAAAGGATATCAAATAAGCAGTAATATTGAATAATATTGCTTAAAATGTTGCATAATTAAAATAGTATTGAAAAATATATTTGTTTCTAATAAATCTTTAAACAGTCGGTACAAAAAATTTGTGTCTTAATTTCAGTTTTTTTTAACTTTTACATAGCAAAGGATTTACCTTATATTACCACTCGTGAGTTGAAATTTATAGAAATTTTCAATAACATTGCCTAGCTCGCCGTCTCGAAGATGTTTTTTTATATCTTTTATTTCTGATTTTCATACTATAGACCATATTATTTTTTTTAACTACACAAATGACAAAATTTTGACTCAAAGTCCCAATTTTAAACAATCACTTGTATGGCTATCACATTTTGTAGTCCACCAAATTCAATCATTATCATTGTGGATAATATAAGCAATAATGTCTATAAATATACTAATATTCAGCTTCTTTATTACTGTAATGCCAAAGTTTTGCTACAAAAACGTATTTTTGAACAATATCTCCTATGATAGGTATATTTTCCTATCCTTCGAAATGTATAGTTTTCAATTAAAATATGTTGTATATCAGCATCTATGAGCACAGTAAATTTCACAGCTTTTTTTCTGCTTAGCTGTGAGAATTTTGACCCGAAAACACGTTTTTGAACACTCACTTGTATGACAACTATATTTTTTTAAACATTCAAAATCGTTGATTTTCAGTTTAAATCTTCCGAATATTGTAACGTATAATTTTTATTCACTTAGATATAAGAGTTTTGACTCAAAAACTCATTTTCTAACCATCACTTGTATGGCAAGTACATTTTCTATTGCACCAATTTAAATAGTTTTCTCTGTGGAAAATATATATAGCATTATATATAACAATATTCAAATGTAGGAGTTTTGACTCAAAAACTCGTTTTTGAACAATTATTTGTATGACAGCTATATTTTCTACGCATTCTATCAAAATCTTCTTCAAAATATACCGGATATAGCTACCCTTAAGTATAAAAAATTAAAAAAAAAATGCATTTGCTTAAATATGTGAGCTTTGACTCAAATCGCATTTTTGAACAATCATTTGTACGGCAGCTATATTTTCAATCCATTCAATTACTACGATTTTCACTTCGAATATTCTAACCAAATTAGAATTTGCATAGATGCTACAGTTTTTTTTTATTTTTTTATTCAAAAATCAAAAAATAGTGCATACACTTAGGCGTATTTTAATAAAAATCTAAAATATATGAATTTTATTTCTTTAAAAATCAACCCCAAAAAGCTCCATAATTTGCCTACCCCAAAAAGTTGGTAAAATCCTTGGGTTTCCATATGTTTATAGATAAAACAAATTTTAAAATTTATTTAATCACTCTAATTTATTATTACCTTCTCCTTTTCTATTTCTCTTCCCTTTCACCAAAATTTAGGATTACTGCGAAAATTGACGATGACATGATATCGTATTATTGCAATGAAGATATCTTTCTGCTGGAAGTGCAACAGATCGAAGATGATTTATATGATATAACATTGACGGAGTTACCCAATCATTGAACAAACGCCTAGAGCTATGCAGAAGAAAATAATAAAAATTTACATAAAAATAAAAATAAAAATAAAAAAAATTAAAAATAAAAAACATATTTTTACACATGTGTAAGCAGCAATAAGCGTGAGCTAAAATTAATACAGCAACAAATTACAGTGGCAGCTAAAAATAATAACAACAACAACAACAACACAAAAGAAATATTAAACTGTAGCGAAAACTCACCACACACACACCATGTTATTGTATTTGTTTGAGAAGAAGCTGAAGTGTTTGGTCCTTTTATGTTTTGTTTTGACTGTTTTACCAATATGACAGCAACAACAAAAGTAAAAACTACAGTAATGCACAAAATATTGGACACAATGATTATTATGTTAGATAAGACGTTTTTTTTTTTTTTTGTATTAAATTCTATGCAAATTATTTTATTCAAATAATAAAAGAAAAAGTAAATGAATGAATAAATAATTTACAAATACTCTTATGAACATACAAATATACATACATATATATTTTTATACATGCTAAGCTAATTAAATATGCGGAGTAAAATATTGAAGAACGTAAAATTTATTTACTTGTGAGTTTACACAATAAATGACGAAAAATATATAAATAAATTCAATAAATTTATTTATAAACATTATTATTCTATAAATGTATGTTATATGCTATGAGTGTAGATCAAAGCCATTTACTTGCAAACTGGCTAAGTGTTAGTGGAAAATATAATAGAAAAGTGGTATGCTGCAAAAAAAAAATACTAAAAAATATACAAATTCACAAAATCCAAAAATTTTCGAAAATTAATTTTAAATTAAAATTTAAAACATACAAAAATAATTTTTTCCAAATTTTTGTCAATTAAAATTTGATTTAAAAATTTAGCTAATAAAAGCATTTAATTTAAGTAAACACACGCTTAAATGAGATTCGTTTGATAACAAATAAAAATTAGAAATTATAACGAATAAATATAATTGAAATGATAAAATTAATTAAAAGAAAATTATTTTTTTTTTTTTAAATATGCATATTTTTGAAACATATTTGGCGGCTTTTTGTCAAACAAAAATTCAGTAACCAACTACTATTACTCATACTTGTGCAGCCACTACGCGCTTAAGTTTAATAAAATTGTTCAAATATATAATGTAAGCAGTTTTTGAAATGTTATTAAAGTAACACTACAATAATACAAAATTCCATCGTCAATCGTTAAACACAGCGGAAAGTTGTGTCAAGTACGTAGAAAATTTTATAATTGCTAACACATATTTCAAAGCTTTCACAAACTTTCAAAAAGAGAGAAGCTTAGGAATTGTTGAAAAGTTCGCATTTCATTTGTCTGAAAGCTTAAGTTATGCTCAGCCCGTTTTAAGCTTTCATGAAAACTTTTAAAGCTTTCACAATTCTTCAAAAGCTTCTACAAACTTCCTAGTGAAAAAAGCTTCTGCGTGTATTGAAATGTTCTCATTTGATATGTCTGAAACTCAAAACCTTTTTAACTTCGAAAGCCTTAATAATTTTTTCGAAAGCTTTTACAAAATTTAAAATTGATAAAAACTCAAGCAAGTAATGAAATGAAATGTCAGCTTTGGTCATACTTTTTAAAGTTGTTTTAACTTTACAAACTTTCAAATTAATAAAAGCCTAAGCAATAGTTGAAGTGTTTTCGTTTTATATATATGAAAGCTTAAAAAGGCTCAAGACTTCATTGAAATCTTCTCTACATACACGATTGAAAGCTTTCACTCTCGATAACTTTCATAGGCCCTAAAACTCTTTTATTAATTCATAGCTTACCGTTTACATACATTTATAAATATGAGTAATACAATAATCCAGTGCTTTTTAATCGCCTTACAAAATGCGAAAAAATTAAAATAGGTTAAATTTGTAAGCTTGTTACAGTTTTTTGAGAAATAATAGCAATTGGCATATACCAATAATAATATTATTTAATTTTATGTTTTGTATATTTTTCGCCTATCTCTACTTAACTCAATTTAGTACTTAATATTTGTTTTTTTTTTTACTTATTTCTTGTATCTGCATATATATAATACATACATATGTATGTATACATAGGTAGGGCTTAGTGTTACTTATTAAAGTTAACTGTAAACTTAAACTTTACTCACTCAATGTTTTTTATTACAATATTATTACTCTTAATTTTATTATTATTACTTTTATAAAATAATATTTGCTATACATATATTTTTTGATAAATAAAAGGCGAACAAAATTCAATTTGTTGTAAATGAAACTTAAAAAATTCTTGTAAATTATTTTTTTCGCACATAATTTGTGGTATTGAAAGAGAGCTTTTGAAATTTTTGTATAAACGAAAAATTCGTACAAAACTTTGCCGAAAGCTTACTCGAGCGGACATTGTAGGTACCAATGTGTATAAATAATCTTTCAAAAAAAATTTTAAAGCTTTTGAAAAACCAAGCGAAGGTTTTGGCGCTGTCGTGCTGGTTCCAAAAATAATGTTTTTTTTATTTGAAAGCTTGCTCAAAATCCTCCTTACACTTTTACCTTTCGAAGCTTGCGGAAGTTCAAAGCACTTGAGTACTTAATAAAAGTTTTAAAGCTTTAAAATCATTCAAAACATTCTAATAATTTTGACAGCTTTTGGAGCTAACGAAAATTTTCTTTAAATTATTTTTTCCAAAAAAAAAAAAAACAAAGCTTTATCTAGAGATACCTTTTTTCAAAACATGAATCAAAGTGATTGATTTTCATATGCTAGCGCATTAAATGATAACTACTGGAAATAAAAATAAGATTTTAAAACAAAAATGTTTTCATAATTTTTTCTCAAATTTCTTTTAATTTTTTTAGCAAAATCTTATAGCTTTACTTACACAACATAAATTTATATAATTCTTTAGAAAAATGTTTAGCGCTTCGCATTAAGCTTATAAAGCTTTCAAATATTGACATTCATGTAAACTTAAAAACAGCTCAAACTTTTAGAAAAAAATTTGAAGCTTGCTAAGCCTTTTTTTTGTGAAAATATAAAAGCTTTCTATAGTTGCCCTTGAAAAATTATATGGTGAAAGAGCTAAAAGCATAGAAATAGAAATTTGAAAAGAGAAGCGAGTAATTTGGAAAAGTTTTAGGCTTTCTTAAAGCTAAAATATAAAAGCTTTCTTTAACTACACTTACAAAATCATATATTGGCATCAATGAGAACTTTAACCATTAAGAGTTTCCGAAAGCAGCGATTTTAAATTTGAAAAAACTTCGTTTGTAAAAAAAAGTGAAAGCTTTCTTCAAAGCTTTCGGAAACAAAAAACTTGTAGAAGTTATTTTTTTAAAGTAAAAGCTTTCTTTAGTTAAAAACATAAAAGCTTTCCATTAATTGGACTTGTGAAATCATTCAGCAAATCTAAAACCATTAAAAGCTTTCGAAAACAGAAATTTTGAATTTGTAAAAGCTCCTTTTTTAAAATATGTGAAAACTTTCTCAAGTTAAAAATATAATTAACTTTCCTTAATTGCACTTGCAAAATCATATACGTACTAAAAGCTCATTAGCCACGCCGTCAAACTTTCATTCTGACGCGTTGAAAATGCAAAAACATTCCAAAAAAAATGTTGAAATAACGAATACAAATGCAATACAAAATCCTTAAATACTTAATAGACTAAGATTTTTAAGAAGAAATTAAAAAAAAATATATAAAAATAAGCTTTTAAATAAAATAAACCTAATTTAAGACAATTGTGCATTTGTTGTTGAAAACATCTTGAGTTATAATACTAACGTAAATTTAGAAATGAATAATGTGAAAATAATGTAAAATGAAAAAAAGGAAAAAAAACTTGCAGCGAAGCACAAAATGATTAATTCACTTGAGATTAATTCTAAGGAACTAAGTTTTAATGAATCGCATGTGATGCCAGGAGAATTAATGTTATAAATAATTTACGCAAATATAAAAGAAAGAAAACAGAAAATTTGTTTTGGAAAAAGCTTTAAGGCAGCGCGCGTAATTCACTACAGATTTCAGCAAAAAAAAAAATTATAATGCAATTTTTCTAGCTTAAAAAAATATTTAGAAAAAGTATGTAATTAAAGCACACTTTTTGGCGCCGAAATGTGAAAAAAATTGTAACTTTTGATATTAAAAAAAAATATGAGAGAATTTACAAACGAAATAAAAATTATATAAAAAAAATAAATAGTTTCTAAAATAAATATACATAACAACAACAATACAATAATAATGAAACCAATCGAATTATTCTTGCCGTACAATAAATAGAACAAATAAACAAAGCCATTTTGTACTAATTAACAATTTAGTAATGTACACATACATACATATATGAAATAAATATTTAAAAAAAATATTTCAATTAGTTGTGTAATATTCTTATATATACATACCACTAACCACTGTATTTACGAACAAGATTTTTTTTTGTGTTTTATATACATATATATATATGTATTAGTATATATGTGTTTGTAATATGATGTAAGCTTAAATAATTTATTGCAAGAAAGAAAAAAAGGAATTATTTTATCATGACCTTCTCGAGAGATATTTCAATTGAAATTATGGCGTGTTACTCTCTTTTGCGTTTCTTTCCTTCTCTCTTAGTTATTATTTTATTTTTTTTTTTTTCATTTTTTTAATATTTTTTTTTTTTTATTTTATATTCGGCATATTTTTGTACGCGCCAATTGTAGTAATAAAATCTTTATTAATTAGTTTTAGTAAGAAGCCAGCTGAAAAAAACAGCTCAAATGTTAAAGCGAAAATAAAAAGAAAAATTAGAAATCAAGAAGAAGAAGAAGCAGAAGAAGGTACTGCAAAATTCACAAAAAACAATGTGTAATTTAAAAATGCATTAAGTGTGTGGCGCATATAAATTGCGAGCGTCACCTTCCGCTGCTGAGAGCCAGAGCCAAGTACTTAGCGCAGAGTGGAGGCAGAGCGCATGAAAGTGAAATGAACAATTGTTAAAAATCTAAAATTAAATTTTTATTATTATTATTATATTATATTATTATTATTATAAATAATGTGTAGTTTGTACTATAAGCATATTTACAAGAATATATTTTTATACAATATATATATATACTTATGAATACATATATATTGAAAATATTTTTATTAAACATAAATAAGTAAAAAAAAGGAAAACGAAACTGTTGTTTTTATTGCATTATTCGAAAAAAAATTCTCTTTTTCGATTAAAAAAATTTGAGTGCAGTTAATATCGTACAATAAAAGCCTCCAGCAAGGTTCTTACGCTTCTCATTAAGGAGCAGAGGTAAATAAGTTTACTATTAACTTGGCTGGAACAAACGCTAAAAGTGATCACTAAGTAAGTTTCAAGCCTAACAAGTTTTAAAATAAGTAGTGACGGCTCAACTCACAGCCTACGCCACTCATCGTAGTGACGCAATGTTTTGTGTGCGTATTCTGCGTATGACGTATGCGCCGGTGTAGGGATTCTCGAACCGATCTATTTAAAGAAACAACGAATTTATTTCAAAATCGTTTGATTTATATGAAATTTGGTACAAAGATAGTTGTTGGTCTCAATTGGCAGGGTTTTTATCATTTGATTCACATAAGATTTTGAACAGTGGGACACTTCGTATTCCGGAAACTAAGCGTGACCCGATCGTATTCGAAAAAAACAAATTTCCTTATCTGCTGAGACAAGCGACTTCACATAACCTCACAGAAAATTATTCAGTGCTTTTACGGTTGTACGAGAACACGTCACAGGCTCACGACGACAGATATT